ATTTGTGTGGCAGGTCTCTAATGGCGGTCGCACGCACGTAATGTTTTTGCAGGTGAAGCTGGGTTTGCTTGAGAAGGGACTTGGGAGAGCTCGAGCCGCCATTCGTAAAGCTGTCTTTGAACGCAGCTTCACTTCAGACAAAGATGAGGATTTCATCCCCAGAGGTTCTGTGTATCGAAACGCCTATGCATTTCACCAGTTGAGTAGAGTGATTCATAGTTCTTGTAGCTCTCATCATACTAATTCTTCTTCTGTGGCATGTTATACTTGAAAAGTACAGACTAATTCAGACAAGAGAAAAATGCAATCTAATATCTATTTTGGGGCATTTACATATATGCATATATACCAAGTAATTCCTATGTATTTACATATCTAACATTCCTATGTATTTACATAAAGTTAGTTGACTTCGATGATATGTAGCTCGAGTGAATACAAAGAGCTTTCCTCGTTCCACAAATCTTCGTGAACTTCAACTAAAGTAGTCATCCTAATGAATATGTGTAGTTTCAGTGGCGAACAAGATTACAGAGAGCCATCTTAGATTATTTGGTCTTATTAAACTTTGGTCTTCTAATGATTGAGTTAGAAAAGTAAATATTTTAGATTGGATTTATGTTAAGAAATACAGATGCGGACCACAATTAGTGAACTTAATCTATTAGAATTAAATGAAAATATGATACTCAATGGAGAAAAAAAATTTATGTAGCCGACTCTAATTAGTGTGATAAAAGCTTGTTGTTGCCGTTGTAAAGCATGGTTCAGATACTGTTTTGACTAAAGTGACTAATTACAAAGTACTGATCAATGAAGTGACCAAGCTTATTAGTTATAATACTCATGAAATTGATTGTAATGATTACATAGGAGCTACATAGAGATGGAGAAGAGATTCAAGGTGTACATTTACAACGAAGGAGAGCCACCCCTGGTTCATGGAGGACCTGAAGCAAACATCTACGCCATTGAAGGGCACTTCATAAGCGAAATGGAGGACAGAAGAAATCCTTTCAGGGCTCGCCACCCAACCGAAGCTCACGTCTTCCTTCTCCCCTTCAGCGTGGTGTACATGGTGGAATATGTCTACAAGCCAAGACCACAAGATAATTGGGATCCTCTCAAAAGATTAATAGCTGATTACATCAATGTGATTTCGGACAAGTATCCTTACTGGAATCGCAGTCATGGAGCAGATCATTTCATGGTTTCTTGCCATGATTGGGTAACCACACACATAAATAAAAAGAAATCAAATTTTTGAAGCTAGATATGAATTTAATGTTTAAAATTTGTCAGGCACCGCACCTATCCGTGGCGAACCCAGATCTACACCGCAATTCCATCCGAGCCATTTGTAACGCCAACACATCAGAAGGATTCATGCTAGCCAAGGATGTCACCCTGCCGGAAGTCCACCTTCCCGACGGCGGCCTCTCGTCGCCGGTGAGGCAGCAGGCTTCCACTGGCGGACGAACGTTGCTCGCCTTCTTCGCCGGCGGGGCCCATGGCTACATAAGGGACGCCTTACTCCGCCATTGGATGGGTACAGATTCTCAAGTCCTGGTTTATGAGTATCTTCCGGAGGGAATAAATTATGAAGAGATGATGAGCAAGGCCAGGTCTTGCCTTTTCTTCTTTTAATTAACTCAGAAATCATCAAAATTACATCTTGTTAAAATTTAAGAGACAGTACGTAAATAATGAAGATGATGATTCGATCAGGTTCTGCTTATGCCCAAGCGGATTTGAAGTGGCGAGTCCGAGAATCGTTGAGGCCATCTTTAACGGCTGTGTGCCGGTGATTATCTCCGTTGATTACCCGCCGCCATTCGGCGACGTGCTGGACTGGAGCGAGTTCTCGATGGAGATACCCGTGGGGAGAATACCGGAGATCAAGGATATACTGGGGAGCGTATCGCCGGCGAGGTATTCGATGCTGCAGAGGAATGTGGTGGAGGTGCAGCGCCACTGAACCGACCGGCCAAGAGATTTGATGTGTTTAATATGATTATGCACTCGATATGGCTGAGGAGGATTAATTTGAGGCTTAATTATTGATGTAATTGCAATTAATCAAATATTGAATCATATTGGTTTCTAAGCTGTATAGATTATGATGTTCTGTATTAGAGTGAGCATGAGTTGGAATTAGGGCCCTCTTGAGAGCTGAAGGTCTAGCATGAGTTGGAATTAGGGCCCTCTTGAGAGCTGAAAAATTATTGTATCAGGATCAATCAAGGTCTGTCATGTGTACAGACAGATTCACTCATGTATTAAATTAGGGTCTCGTCCGTACACGTGACAGACAATGATTGAAGTTCCGATACAAAACTTCATCAGGACTCCTGATGCACTAATATATAAAGCTAATTTGATTATTATTCAGATCAATTTATGAAGTAAAAAAGGCATATTTTTATTTATAGTCAAGTCATGGAATGCATATAACCTATTTTAAGTTTTGTTATATGTTTTATATATAATATTAATACCATTACAAAGATTAAAACATACAAAATACATATATTTATATGTATGAATCAAATGTATACAAATTAAATAAAGTTGACATTTATGACATACAATTTTAATATAAGTATACATCTAAGCCCCTAAACTTTAACATCATATATGTATCTTGTATATGTCACTTTAAAGTGCTAAAATAGAGCCCCACACCCTCCACATTAATTATTATTGGGGTCAATTTAGTCCCAGGGTCTAAATTTAGTCCCTACATTCTTTTAATATGACCCGACAAGGTCCCGAAAGAGGACTATCTTAGTCTTCATTTGCCTAAGATTAAATTGACACTTACAAAAATTTTGGGACTAGATCACCCCGATGAATTTTAGGTCATTGATCTGCTTGCCTATATAATCTAAGTGTAAATTTAAGAAAAAAAAATAGTTTAATTGTATATAATTTCTTCATATATCTTCTCTTCGCTGGCTTTTTTCTTGTATTTTCATAAATTTTTGTTAGTGTGGGAATCTTCATTTAGTTGGGCCTTTCTATGATATCTATCATGGTGTAAGCCTTGGTTGGGCAGATTAGAGGATTTACTATGTCAATTTATTTCCCATGCATGTTACATTTAATCAATGTGAGCTCCAAAAAGTTGCATCCAACTGTTCTAAGAGAGCTTGTGATATCACATTAAATTAAAGAAAAAAATTATATTTTTGATAGACATTATCTAATGTTCTTACAAGCATTGAGAAGAGAATGTTGAAGAAAGGTGATTTTGGACCAGTAAATAATAATAAC